CAAGTATATTTGGGAAATCCCTCAAGGTTTCGAGGATAATCGTAACAGTATGTATAATAAGCTCATATTAAAACGGCAGTGTATTATGTACACACACACTAGCTTTGTTTCTTTACTTTCCTAGTAGATCATGATCAGGAAGAAGAATGGGAAGAATTACAGAATTACGCTCACAGCGAGTGAAATATAGAAAAAGTCAAGAAACGCAAACTAGCAGAAACTAGCTAGTAAACACCTGACCGATGCTTTTGACAACTGAACATATGTATTTGCTGCGAATTTTTAATCACATTTTATGTTTAAAAATTGTTCACAAATACTCAGGTTTTGCCACACTTTATCAAATTTAATAAATCGCCCATTTTTATCAAAAAATACAAAAATATGTAAAAGAAGCAAATCAAAGTAGCTGTGAAAATTATGTGTTTCTTGTAATTTGCTTTCGTAATTTTTTACCTATATTCGGCTAACACTACCTTGTGTAAATGCGCCTATCTGTAAAGGAACAATGCTACTGAGTGGTGTATTCAATATTAATTTTTTGGTGAATTCTTTGGACCACTGTAAACTGCTCTCAGAATTTGTGATGTGCTGAGTCGCTACTTTTAAGTATTGATCGATACTCGGTACCGATTTAAAAAGTATCAAATACTTTCGATACTCGGTACTGAAATCTTGGAATTTCTAATAAAAGCGCGCAACAGCCAAAAATATGAGTTATATGTACACATACATATAGTGTCAGCTATTAAAAATAAATAATATTGCCACCAGAACTATTGCAGTTGGAAAGATGGTTGCGATAAGTAAAAGAAGGCGAGAGTGTGTTTTGCGACATCAGTATCAGGGCGAATTTAATAAGGTGGTGTTACCGGCGTATCTGAATTTTTCGCCGTGGAGGACATTACATCAAAATTACGTGTTTGTTGTAGTTAATACTAATGACAGTATGAATATCTGCGTATAATTTGTTAGGGTAATTTTTTACTTATATACGGCTAACACCACCTTATTAAATTCGCCTTGATCATTATTAATTGCCTGCCTTGTTCGCCGCACACATTATGCTTGCTTCACTTAACTACATACATACAAACACATTGCTCATCTCTTGAGAAAGGACCGTCTTATTTGTACATTTTGGGTTTTTAGGCGATGTCTTATAAAATATCAATAATTTTTACCCCCAAAAGTAGCCTATGTCGAGATAGGTCCTTTTCTCTTTAAATCCACATATCATTGGATTCCCAAACAATATTTTAACGTTTAACTAGCCAAAGATGTAGTTCAAGATGCCCCTATAATAGAATCTTAATTAAAATATAAAACAATTTCAAAGGAAACTGATTTTTTTTTTAATTCAAAGTCAAACCATCTAAAGTGACTTAAGCTACTTTAATTGAACGGCACAGATATAATGACGAAAGGTACCGAAAAGGAAGTATTGGGTACCGAAATTTTTTTCAAGTATTGGGTACCGAGAATTCAGCACGTCACTACTCAGAATGTCGCCTGAATAATTTTAATGACATTTGTTAACGTGGAGCTATTTGTGAACCAAATGAAAAAAGTGGCGCATTTTAGGAGCTGGTGTAGTTTTTGTACTTATCTCAATGAATAAATAGTACCAAAATGTTAAAGGTAGAATTTTGATTTGAAAGAAATACTGGTGGAATAACAAATACACCAAAACGTTTTTTTTATTCAATCTAATCAGATTTGTACCAAAATCCATAAATTTACACCAATTTATACACCAGTGTGCTACTTGAGAGTAAGCCCTTACAACAATAACAAAAACTGTGTATTTATACATTATTTTTGAGTGAAAACAGAAGACAATCATGACAAAAATCCCGACAAAATATAAAGATGATTAAAAAATCGCGCGATTTTTTAATAATTTTTATATTTTGTCTTGTCTGGACTATGTCTTGTCGGGATTATGTATGGTCGGGATTTGGCTAAATTTACATGATGAAATTATGTTTAACTGTAATAATTAAGCATACATTATTGCTCAAATGTATTCGTAGTTAGCGAAATAAATATTCTGTCTAAACCCTTAAAATTAATACTGACAGACGAGACGGATGGTTTACCATCAGAAAAAAAATCTGGATATTTACTAAAAAAATTATTTCAATTCAAAGGGCACACTGATGACTTTCACACAGTATGACCCTATGATTAGAATGATGATCCCGCTGTAGTTAGCGCGAATGATGGGCTCGCCTCTCTTGTTGATTGGGCAGAGCACATTTAATTCCAGTCATGGGGCATGCGTTCATCTGGCCATGCTCTGAATAAGAGTTGATGCATGCACATTTTTAGCTCCTCGACGCCGTACTTAAATAGCTCGGCTGGCAGGCCGGCAGCTCCAGCAGCTTTGTTACTTTTCAGCGGAATAATCGCTATTCGTACCTCGTCGTAGTCAGGCGGTGGAACATCGACTCCGTCATCATCGATGGTGGCTCGGAGTTTTCTTCCGGACAACTTTCACTGCTGATACCATTCAATAGGGTGGAAATGTGTTCCCTCCATAATTTAAGTACGTTCTGAACATCGGTAAATAGGTCACCGTGGTTGTTCTTACAGGAGTTCGCCCTGGTCTTGAAACCTTCCGTAAGTCGCCTAAATATGTTATTTAGAAATTTCGCGGCTAGAGTTCAGATAATTATCTTCAAGAAATAATGACTTCCCCACCGCCAGCGTATGCAGCTAGCTCTGGTTCCCCGTTATGCACTTGGAAAAGAATTCTGTCTAACAGACATCACTCCTATCGAGGGCGGTTATTTGTATTTTTTGACATCGTCAGCGCGCCCCGATCAGCCACAACTGTGCAGGAATTTAGAAAATTTCCGCATCAATTATGAATGGCAGCCCTCATGCCGATTGAAACAAGTACGTACAACAATACCTCCGCAGTAACGTTGTTGAATACTCCAGTCTCCTATAGTATACTCTCTATAATGAAACGCCTTCTCTCCAAAGCACCACATTGAAAGATCAGTATCTTAGGATTTTCCCTTTTCAAGCTGAAAATCTGTTCATTATTTTGTAACAAGATCCTGTTTTGTAATACCTGTGTAAATTCTGCATATGAACATATATGTATGTATGTACGTATGTAACTGCGTACGTACATTCATTTGTACATAAGCAAGAAGTATCGAAACGACACACAATTGTGTCTGCCCCTGCGTTAATAATTAACAACGATTTTCATTCCAATGCATAATATTTCATGCAACTAAGTAACAGTGTTGATTATGTAGTGTAGCTACTGTGCAATTACGCTCAACTACACATATTTACATACCTGCACAAGAAACATACAAACTTACCCCCCTCGAAGGCATCGTCCGTCTCGAGATCGTCGATGTAGACGCGCTGGGTAAGGGCGCGCATTTTTAATTGCCAAACGCCCTCCATCATCCACGTGGGCATGCTCACTTTATTGTTATTACCATTGACATTGCTATTGTTTGCATTATTGTTGTTGTTGTAGTTGTTGCTGTTCTTAAAGTTTTGACTATAGCCTCGTCCCTGCCTTGAGGGCGCGTTGCTTTGCATGCTGCCGCTGCCTCCAACTCCCCTATCGTATTGTGCATCTGCATCGGCATGGTGATTCTCGTTCGGCGGCGAGGTAAACATTTGCACATTTGTTTCGTGGCCAGCGTGCAACATGCCACTGCACACCTCAACGCATTTTTCATATTTTCGCCGTCGAAATAGCGAAACTGCCTGGAAATACTGCCACTCGAGTGCTGCCATTGTCATCGTTGGTGTTTGCAGCTGTAGCTGCTGCTGCTGCTGCTGCTGCTGCTGCGGTGGCGGCTGCGTCTTTGACTGGTGCATTAATGGTGATGCCGTGGTATTTGCAGAAGCTGAAGTCATCATGCTCGTGTTGTTGGCGGTACCCAACATCATGCGAGCTGTGGGAAGCGGTGCCAGGGAGGCCAACGGTGCCAAAGGAGCTGCTGTCATCATCTTGCCGTCTGTGTGAGCTGCTTCTTATTCTTCTTCTTTTACCTCACCGAGTCCAATTCCACTCGCGCAACCGCTGCTTTATGCTTCCTTTTGCCTACGTCCTCTTACTGGTGCCTTTTGGTGTTTGTCTAGTACGTGTTGTTGTTTGAACCGCTCTTATTTCTCCTTTGCTTTATTAACTATATTCTGTTCAAAGAGTCAATTGGCTCCACTGTCTTTAGGCTTTATTGATTTGGCCTGTTGGAATTTTAAGCACCGGATATGAGTTAATTTCTTCAACGGCCACAGTTGGTAACCGTGGATTTGTATTTTCTTTTATTTATTCGAAGGTCGTGCAATTTGATTGGAATTCTTAACGAGTCGTTGCATCGTTCAAGATAATTTGTATGTACACATTTATTGTACCGTGTGTGTGCAGATGAGCATACCCGCTTTTAATGTATGCTTGTATTTTTTTTATGACGAAGATACTTTTGTTATGTATCCACTTTGCTTCCGTACATTTAATAACTAAACAGCCGACATAAACATTTTGGAACCGTCATTAAATGAAAAATTCTTGTTTTGGACGTTTTTGGTTGCCATGGAAGCGTGCAAGTTGAAGGTTGTGGACATAGGTTTACATTTAAATACAAATATAGTATATGTATGCACATAAATACAGGTACGCGTAACCAGGTAGGGGCAACTGCGCCCCTCCGAAGCTTACAAGACGAAGTCGAATTAAAAATTAATTAATTATACATAAATACAAATAAAAAATTGTGTGCGGTGTCGAGTTAGTAACTATGCTCTCCATTTCCACAGGAGGCCTGTGTTTTTCTCCGTTGATACATTGAAGCAAGCACAGCGTTCGACTTCGTCAAACGCGCCACCTGTGTCGTTATACTTAATTTCTCATAAAATTTTCGCGCCGCGTTCCTTTCTATCGGCATCTTAAGCTATTCACACTCATGACTTTTTTCCTCTCTTCTTCTTTTTAAAAATTTTCTCTCTTTCCTCACTTTTCCCCGGTTCCTCTCAATTGTCGCGTGGTTCCGAGTTAGCTTCAGGATGGCTTGGAATAATGCGTTTTTCTCTGCAGCAGTTGCACGGCATACCCGCTGTTCCTATGTGGGTGATAGTAGAAAACCGTAGCGGTACGAAGAGATTGGGAGATCGATTTCCACTGGTTATTTATTTCCGGTCGAGAGGACTTTCTTGTTTAAGCAGGATTCAGAATCGATTGCGAAAGTTCCCGGCTGTCCTTTGTGACTGTAGCTTTGCGACGTCGAACTTTCAAATATATCCAGCTTTCATGCGGATTGTGGCTATTTGTTCACTGATGGGGGTGACCCTAGTTACAATCCGTTGAGGCCTCCGTCCAACTACAAATGCCAAACAAAATTTGTGCACCGACCCTTGGCAGCTGTAATGCATAGATGTTGCACGCTGAAAATTTTTTGCAATCATGCCTCGTCCATTACATTTCCTGTACTGTGGTGATGTCAGTCTGGTATTTCTCTAAGCGAATCAGCAGTTGGATAGAGGCACACATATATGTAAGTAAAGCGTAGCCCTTCTTTCGTGTGGTGGGTCGTCAAAGTTTGGGCTGTTTTGAGTTTTCCATTGGTTCTGCTTTTTACCTTACCCAGGGCACAACCCATAGCTGGGCTGCTGAAGATACTAATTTATCTAGCCAGCGAACTGCTTTCTCCAAGACAAAAGACTCGCGCTTGTGAGAGAGAGAGGCCTCTTTCTTCCGTTAACCAAGGCTTCACAAGAGTTGGTTACTGCATCTCGCACATTGGTGCACACATTACTCAGAGTACGCGAATGGAGACGCAAGAGTGGTGCAACTGTAACTGCAAGCATGATAGAATACAAGATTGCGCCGATCAGAGAGGATTTTTGAGAATAACTTTTGTGTGACGTCACACTGGTGCAATTGCGAGAGAGAAATGCCAAAACGTGAGCAAGAATGGAAGAAGAAGGAAAAATGTTGCAAGGAAAACGTAAACAAGTTGCACAAGTGTGACGTCATGCAAACCACGATTCTGTCAAATTCGTTAAGAGAGGAATAGCGGTCCGAGATCGGCGCAACCTTTGTATTCTGCATATATATAACTGCATACTCAGCAGAACGACAATATTCAGAGGAAAGACTTTCTACTGGACTCAAGAATGATGAATACAAGATTGCGCCGATTGCAGCAGAATTCGTGAGAGTAATTTTGGCGTGACGTCATCGTGGAGATGACAACTGAGAGCGGCGAGAATAAGTTGTAAAAATCAGTGTTGCCAGTTTAGTCGTTTTCCGTCTGGATTTAGCCGGTCGCGATAGAAAACAGCCGAGAAAATTCAATTTATCCAGCAGCCGATTTGTTAGCCGTTTTGCAAAAAAAAGTTAGCTGATTTCGCTATTTACCGTATTTTATTAAAATTCAAATATACATATGTACATATAAGTTTCCATTTTGACAAATTTGGCAAAACTGCTAGCCTTATTTCGGAGAAAATTTTTAATGTCGGACTGAAAGATTTTTTTCTAATCCGAAAAGTCTTAAAATACTGAGCCGATTTCAATGATTTTTATTTTATGTGAATATACAGTAACCCAAGTGACTGGGACGCGACATTTTAGCATATTATTCTTCTGTGAAAGTATAGCTGATTACTTACAAACACCATTTAAACCCAAATTTCATATTTTAAGCAAAAATTATGAAAATTCTGAATTTTTTTATTTAAAATTTTAGTATAGTAAAGTGCAAATTTAAGTTAGCTGGCTCTTACCGTTGATTTTTGGAAATTTGTTGACGGTGCTCCGCATTTTTTTTCCATATAAAATATTTTAAAACATACTTTGTATGGAAAAAATTCGTAACACCGTTATAAAAAAAAAATACAAAAATCCACAGTAAGTCCTAGATACTTCAAAGTTTCACTATATTATACTGATATTTAATGGACTACAAAACTGCATACATACCATTTTGTAAGGATGCTGATTAAAAAGTTAAAAATTTTGGTGAAATTTTCCAGAATTTTCATAATTTTTGCGCAAAGTCTGGTGTTTGTTGAGTAATCAGCTAAATTTTAATAATAAAAACAAGTAAGAAAGTTTAAGTTGGGGCGGAGCCGAACATTAAATACCCGGCGCAGGTATTAAATATATGTTTTTTCACCTTTCCGAAAGCTACCGCTAGATGGTAAGCCGGGGTGTATCAATTTTGAGTAAATTAGCGTCCTTAAATTTCGAAATATTGAAGTTTCAAGCATATCTGAAATTTACCGTTATATGAAAAGCGGCCGTAATTTTAGTCCGATTTCAACAATTTTCAGCGTTTTGTTTCTATGTGGCAAGTACAATAACCACACCGAGTTTGGTACAAATTGGTAGAACGGTTACCGAGATATATATATATGATCATCGGTGCCACGCCCATTTTCCAAAATTTTATCATAAACGTAGTTCTTGGTAAAGAATTGTTGCAAGCATCAATTTTGAATACACTAGCTTCAATATTTACCGATTTATCGAAGATTTCGTATTTCTCTAAATTACCGTTATATGTGATGTGGGCGTGGTTATTGTCCGATTTTAAAAATTTTCGGCCATTTCCTAGGTTATGTCAACAATGGCACCAATTGTGCCAAGTTTGGAAGAAATTGGTGCAGCGGTTACCAAGATATTCACATGTAACCATAAGTGGGCGTGGTTACGCCCATTTTCCAAAAATTTATAATATTCTTATTTCTCGTCTAAAACTTATTGTAAATATCAATTTTGAGTGAATATTCTTCAGTAGTTACTAAAATATCGCAGTTTTCGTATTTCTGAAAATTACCGTTATATGGGAGGTAGGCGTGGTTATTGTCCGATTTTGCCCGTTTTCAATACCATCCGTCCTACGGCAGAAAGAAGTGCACGTACCAAGTTTCGTTGAGATATCTCAATTTCTACTCGAGTTATCGTGTGCACAGGCGGACGGACGGACGGACGGACAGACAGTCACCGCTTAATCGATTTCTCTTTTCATTCTAATCATTTATGTATACATTTGTCTATATCTATCTCGATTCGTTTTGCCTGTTACAAACAACCGTTATGTGAACAAAGTTATAATACCCTTGTGCACAAGTGCGCTCGGGTATAATAATAAACATTAAATAAACTTAATAAATATAGCAAAAGCTTGCTAAAACCTCGCGTCCCATTTTATATTTGGGTCACTGTATTTTTCCAAAGAAGGACGTATCCGGGACTTTCTTTAGATTATGTTCAAACAGGCACCTAGTTGGCAATTAGGAACCTTTTCACCAATTTACACCTTAATTGTTACCCAAATTATCATACAAAAATTCAAATTATTAATTGCCAATTAATAATTAATTGGCAATCAATTTGTGTCAGATTCTCTATGCAACCCTGCTAGGTATGTTTAATTTTGACTTGGAGGTATGTTTATTGAACAAAGAGCAATCAGCGGTTTGTTTCTGGTTCTGTTTTACAGCTGATATTCCATCAGGGATGGAAAATTGAATTATAAAATTGTACCTAATTTACGGAAAACTTTACCTAAAAGTAGGATAACAATTCCCATCGATGCCATATCACTTTCGGTACTCACATTAAGCAAATTTTTGGCTATGAAAAGAATCTCTTCGAGCAGTGCGAGACAAAACTATGTTGTAGAAAAGGTGAATCACTTTCCTCCCAGTTATTAGATTTGACGTTTTAAAAAGAAATATTTTCCGTCTATCTGGTGAGATCAACTACAGTTGCGTTACTTTGATCACCCTTCTGTATCATTTGTATGCCTCTTCACAAAGGAGGGAAGCTATTTAACCAGTTGCCCGCACCAGAAAATGCATTGAAATGTCAGTAAAAATAAGAACTGATTTCCTAAGAAACTATTTGGCTACGTTCCAAATGTACCTAAATTTTTTTGTTTTTACCGAATGTACTTTCAAACTAAATAAAGGTACGATTGTAACAACTTTTCCATCACTGTAGGTAATCCAACAGCTGATTTCGTATCGCTAATTGGGCAGCTGACGTGTGTGTGAACACCAAACTCAATGCCGCAATTTAAAGCTTAATTACCTCAGCTAATTGGCCTGTTTGAACATAGTCTTCTACAATTTTTGTTATGAATGGCTTAAATTTAAGTGCGAAGTTTTATTCGCAACACTTGGAAAATAACGGAGAGAATAATATAGCACGAATGTCGATGTGAAGCAAAATTCTCTGGGAAGACAATACCTGTGAATAATTGTATCATGGTGCCAACACACTTTATTGTTGCTCATTATATCTCTCAGACAAGCATGTGAGAGAGTGAGTAGGACATTAAAAATAGGAGTTTCGAATATATGGACATCAAAATACAACTAGATAGTTCAATTGTTAAAAACTTAAAAAGCGACCGGCTTGTTCGATATAAATTAATGGCGTTTTCTTTTCTCGAAATAATGTTGGCCTGTTTTCTTCAGCCCTTTCACAGCTTCCCTCCGACTGAGCAAAATACTTTCTACTAATATAGCCATTTTCAGGACGAAAAGTAACCTAGTACAAATGTTGCAATGTAAGGCAAAATTTTTCAATAAAAAAGAAAACACCATAAGTGTGCAATTGATCTCGTTTTTTATATTTAAGTAATACAAACATGACTTCTGATGTACGTATAACGACAGTTTCTTTT